TATATTAGCATTTCATTTAAAAATATAACATATAATAATATCAAAAAAATAAATTATATATTATATTTAATAAATATAATAATTGATATTATATTTGAAAAACCAATTTACTTAAATATTTATGAGAATATTATTTTAATAAGTCAATTAAATAATACCTTAATACATTTGTTGGATTTTATTTTACTTAAATATTTATTTGATTATTATAAAGTACTTTTTGCATAAATATTTTTAAATACATAATTAAATTCAGCATAATTTATTATATTTTAAAATAATAATAAATAAATGCATAAAGAAAAATATGATAGTGGTGTAATATTTTTTAAGGGCTGTAAGTGTAAAATATGTTCCAATAATATATGATTTGAATGTAATTTTTTCTGTATCAAATATCAATGGTGGTTGCGTCCATTCGTCTTCTTCCTTCTCCACTCCTCTCTTTCGCTCCTCGTCGCTCTTCCTATTCATGGCGTTGCCGTCCCTCTTCCATCCACTCCAGTAATCACTGCTTCCGCCATTTCCTTTTCAATTACTTCTCCTATCGCAACTTAACCTTAAGCTATCTTTTCGATTCGACCACTATTGTCTGTTACAGATGTTGCTAATTACACTTTTTCTTTGTCTGAAAAATTAAAAAAAAAATGTTCATTCCTTTCTAGTTTTATATATAGTCGAATTATTACATGAAATTTGTGTTGACTTTTGAGTTCGCCTTGGCGCAGGTTCTACTAAGGGAGTGGAATTAGGTGGTGATCAAGCGGAACTTATATTTTTGGGGACTGGAACCAGTGAAGGGGTTCCACGTGTTAGCTGCTTGACTAATCCTTTGAACAAATGTGAGGTACATAGCATTATTCAGCTTAACCGTGTTCTTCTTCTTGTAATTGATGAATGAGTGTAGCATTATGGAATTGAATATTTGGGGTTATTGATTTGGTTTTTGCAGGTTTGTTCAAAAGCTGCCCAACCGGGTAATAAGAATAGGAGACTTAACACAAGCGTCCTCATTCGATACCCCAATTCCTCAGGAACACAGAATATTCTTATAGATGCTGGAAAGTGAGTTTTTAATTGCCCTATGTAATATGCATTGCGATTGTGTTGGGTTGGGAATTAGGAGGATGAGCTTTATCTTCCTTTTGTTTTAACGTTAGTCCATGTATTGATGGGATTTGGTGATTGGTTTTAGGTTGCTTTTCTGAACTTTTCATAACTCTGCCGGAACATGGACAAATTAATAGTTAACTGTTGTATCTTTACTTGGATATGTTGCTAGTATACTTTTTGTGTTGTGTGCTGAAGAAGCCTAAAATTGATTCATTAAGAATCGAAGGATTCTCCACTGTTTGTGATCACACTTTATGCAGTAGAAAAACCTTCAATGGCTTCAAGTGATGAGCTGGTGGCATGTACATGGATTTGTAAAGTATGCATCTTGGTCGTGATAGAATTATGGGTGTTAATAAGTCTTTTCTTGTTTACCTCAAATATAGTCTTGTATGTGTTGATTGGATTCTAATTAAGCCCGAATTGCCCAGTCATGTTGATAATATATATGCTGTGTGTTGGGATATAGTAGTGTCTGAACCATGGATATATTGAAGATTTTAAAACTGTGAGATGGGAATTAAAATTGCTTGAGTTCAGTTTCAAGGAAGACCTTGATATGATTGTATCATGCATTTACTTCATTTGGGTGCTTATAACATGTTAATTTACTTGTTGCAGGTTTTTCTATCAAAGTGCTCTCCGGTGGTTTCCTGCTTTTGGGTTAGTATCTACCTGTTCGGTTCTGTAGCTCTTATTGATGTTTCTTGAGATGGCTTCTCCATTTTTCGTCTTTTAGTGTTTTTCCTTTTGGGAAAAGGTATGACGCAACATTAATAACGATGGTTAGGTAAGTACATGCAGATTAGGAAAAATTACTTGCACAAACTATGTGTGGTATATGTGCAATTTGGACCATCCAGAAAGTTATAGTAGGGGCCTTAAGGTTATCTAATATCTTGCGTGTAAGTATGTAAGGAGCGTAGGTTTGTGCAAGTATCAATACCCGTGCAAAATGAATTGGGCTTATCAAATATCTAAATGCATTTTGATACTGAACAATTTAAGAGAAACAAAAATCTTAGAAGACTTGTACATCATTGAAATTTATTTGTTGTTTTAAATGTTTTTTCTTGAGGAGTCTTGATTATTGACCCTATAATTTATGAAGTAGATAGGGTTCTTGCATATTTTCTTGTATTTTTCAATTTTTTCTGCCTTGCTTTAATGTCTTTCTAACTTGTATGTCTGTCAGGATAAGAACACTTGATGCGGTCATTATTACTCATTCTCATGCTGATGCAATTGGAGGTCTCGGGCATTTTTTTTTTGGATAATTAATATCAATATGACATGTATAATGCTTGGCTGAAATAATAAGAAATCTGACTGGTCATATAAACTAACTCTGCTTCTTTCTTCTCTCCGGGTCTTGATGATCTTAGAGATTGGACAACCAATGTTCAGCCTCATATTCCAATATATGTAGCCAAGCGTGACTTTGAGGTTCTCTACCATCTGCTTCCCTTCCAAATATTAAAGGCCTTCTATATATCTATTTATCATATTAAAGAAATTAATGCATTTCAGAGAAATTGAAAATTGTGCATGTTGCATCTGATATTCATTCTTTCTGAGATTGCCGAAGGAAAGTATACCACTGATGTCATTGAAGTATATATTTGTGGCTATTTAACATCATCTTTGCATCTGCTTCAGCATTTACACCACAGAAATTCATTATACTTTTAGAAAATATTTATATGACTAATTGTAGTTAAAAGGTGGATTTAGTTATACCTAGTTATCCTCCTAAACTAATCTACTGAAAATTATGTGTACTGAAACCTAATAATAATATCTATCTGAAGAAATCAAATCTTTCTCTTCTGGTTTAGGCTGAAGGACCAGAAAATTAAGTATCAGAAAATCCTATCTAATATCTTCACAGGTTCAATATTTTTGTATCTCACACAATGAAACATTTTTTTTTTCACTATAAGAGCTTCCGAAATCATTCCTAAGTGAGAAGCTGCCCATCCTGCTTTATAGTCATGTTTGTCTCTTAATAATGTACTCAACTATTAAGATAATTTCCATATTTAGATTGCAGTTAGTTGAAAAATGAAGATACGATTTAGAGGAAATTTCTTCCTTTTCAAATATTTTAACTTTTAGGATGGAGCATAATAAGCTCGATTTCTTAAGATTTACTTGTCTCTCATTTGAGATATTTAATTTCTTTTGTGTTGTGAATTTGGAATTTTTCTTAAGAGTTTGTTTGAATATAAACTTAAAAGTATTTTTGAAGGTTTCTCTACTGCAAATAAAACTTATTTTTTGATAAAGATGCTCTTAAAAACACTTTTAAATTTGTATCCAAATAGACTCTTAATAGCCCATGTGGCTTTACCCTTAGTTGAGGGGAAAAAGTAAGAACAATGAAAGCTTGTGCTTTTCATTTTTAATAATCAGCTGAATCATTCACCATTTATTACTTCAATGAGCTACTGTTGGCATATGTTTTTTAATGGATTGTTTTATTCATTATTGAAATATGCAGGTGATGAAGAAGACCCATTATTATTTAGTAGATACTAGTGTTATCTTACCCGGTGCCAAAGTGTCAGAGTTGCAATTCAATATCATATCGGAAAAACCATTTTTTGTACATGGATTGAAGGTCAGTATTATTATTATTATTGGTAGTTTTAATAGCTTGAAATGGGTGTTTTTGTACTTTCTCCCTGTTCATTCTATCGATTTTCTCACTTATTGCTCAATCAATTAATTTCTGTCATGTTCCTTCTAGTGAATGGGGCTTGGCTCAATTATTTTCTTTTATTATTGTACTTCAGATTACCCCATTACCAGTGTGGCACGGCCAGGATTATCGGTCCCTTGGTTTTCGTTTTGGTAATATATGTTACATTAGGTAATGCTTCTAATTGAATGGAAAAACACTAGCTTATAATTCAGTTCATCCTTTTAATCTATTTATGTGGGCTGATCTCGTGTCTAAATTTGCAGTGATGTCAGTGAAATTCCGGAAGAAACTTATCCACTTTTAAAGGACTGTGAAATTCTGATCATGGTGATCCATCTTCCAATCCTTTATGTCTTGCCGCATATGTGCCTAATTTTTACATGAAATTACTGGGGAGTACGTGTATGATTTCTCCCTCACTCATATGGCGTGTAATTCTACAGGATGCTTTGAGGCCTGATCGCTCTACTTCCACACATTTTGGACTTCCAAGGGTAATAATCCGTGTCATATTTGTTAAAACTTTTCTTCGAGGAAGGAAATTTATTCTGATATTCCATTTCAGGCGTTGGAGGAAGTGCGAAAAATTCAACCCAAAAGAACACTTTTTACTGGTAAGTTTAGCTTAAACCTTCTGGTTAGCATAATGCTTGCTTTACTTTCTTGCCTTAATCTATTTCAGTTCATTGATCATGCAATTAGGAAAAGCCTGATAGAACCCCTTAAGAAGTTCATAATTTGTAAATAAAAATTGTGGGGCAGTTAATATTACTTTTACTTTTTCCATCAATGTACAATGTTTTAGAAAAATAAATTTTCGATATCTTCTTTTTGGTAATTTGAAGGTATGATGCATCTGATGGATCATGAAGAAGTGAATGACTACCTTAAGAAACTATCGGAGTCTGAGGGCCTTGATGCACAACTGAGTTATGATGGCCTTCGTATACCGATCAGACTTTAGTTTGTATACAGCTTCATTCACAAGACAACCATTTTTTCCTCAAAGAGAAGTTATTTAATAAACATTCAAATGATATTACAAGTCCATATGTTCTGAGGTTCCTGCAACTATTCTACCTTCTTCCTATCATCATTCATCATTCTTTCTCCTCTACTTGCCTCTGTTGGCTACAAGAAACACCTAGGATGATACCATACATGTAACAAAGGATTTTTTTTACCCCTTGCAATGAAGGATTTAATTTTGTTATATGGTCGTACTATATATATGGATGGCTAATGTTGTAAACTTTAATTGAACACAGACTAATTTTATTTCAAGAGTTGATGACATTTAGTTCTTTTGAGATTGCCTTCTAAACGTAATTGCTCATAAGGCAAAACACCAAATGGATACTCCCAAAATTTATAAACAAACACTTTATGAACCAAATAGAAAAAAATAAAACAAAAGAGTAACTTTTGGGTAAATCTCATGGGTAGATCTTCTCAAAAGCAGGTCTATGTTATGTATAACAAATTAACAATGTTGGAGGACAGAACTGTCGTGTTTGCACGAGTGTTTGAATTTTAGTAGATATGGATCACTGGGTTGGAATCAGTACTTTGACAGTGACAATCAGACATTTCATGTAATATATGTATTGATTGTTGCCCCATCATAAACGCAATTGATGTATAATTTGTATTTTTGGGGCCTATACACGTAGAAATTCACGTTGAGACTATGGCCCACCATGTTTTCTATGCACCAAGTCAACCAAATATTAGTAATAAGTTCACAAAAGCTACTATTTTTCTTTTTTATTGGTTGCAAGATGGATCACGTAATACCTGCATTTTTATGAGTGGACAATAGATTTTGCAGAGTTTTGGAATAATCTATGACAAAAACAAAAGGGGATTCTTTCCCCCCTCAAATTACTTTTATCTCCAATTTTTTAATGTGACTATTTTATTCTTCACAATTTTCTTAAAAAATAAATATATTTATTTATATTTAAACTCTTGTTTTTATGTTTTAGTTTTTTTTAACTTTCTTAAGTAACTATAAGTTACATTTTTATTATAAACAAAAAATTTTCATGGCTCACATAATTACCTTTTTTTCCCCTTTAAATCTCTTATTATAATAGATACACAATAATTTTTAAAGTTATTTATTTTTTATGAAAAATAAATAGAAGTATGAAGTGTCTCTACTCTATATGACAAAATAGGTCTAGTCAAAATGTTGGATAACAAAATTCTCATGTTCGTTTGAGTGTTTGAACGAGAGATTTGGGATTTTGAGTGAACTTCTGCTCTTCTTTTCTTTTATTATGTTCCTTGTGCTCACAACTTCTTTGTATTTTTCTTTGATTTGATTGGATTTTTTTTTTTTTTTTTGTGTACCTGGAACTAATTTATACTCATACCTTGGATGTTGTAATTCTTGTTGCAAGATGTTTTTGATAAAATTTAAAATCCCAAATTATTATAATAACCGAAGCCTGATTGAGATAACTCATGTTATCAACCGAGAAAATGATGTAAACAAAGTTTCCATCGAGAAGGCATATCAAGTTTTGCAAGATTAAATATTTTATTATGTAGACTTATTAGATTTTATGTTTTTTTTAACAAAATGATACAGCTAATGTGTAGTATTTAAACATTTTTTAAAAATATATACTAAAATAATTCACATATAATACAAGCCCATGAATTGATTTTAATATAATTGATTTTTAATTGGGATATACTTTTTAGTTCCAACTACATGTTTTACATAGTTCTAATATGAAACGATACATCATGTTAAAAGTTAATTCTATTGGTATGAAAAAATGATACGTATCATTATTAAGATCACTGATTGTACTAATATATAGTTTATATTATATCAAGGGTTTATCCGTTAGTAAATAATATTTTATTCTAGTGATGGGCTAATTTGTGTTAGAAAAATTTGATATTACAAAAAGTATGTATGAGTTTTAGTGTATGTAAAATATTTATACAGTGTAGGAATAAAAAGATTGTACAGTATCGGTTATTTGTTTTAAGGAAAATAGAATCATACATGATACAAGTGTATGTAATTTAAAAAAGAAATTGAAAAGTTGGGCATGGATTGGTTTGCCTCATGTTACGTCATATCACAATTCAGAACCCACAACGCTTTCCGTATACATTTTTAAGGCACAATCATTAAGGATCATAATTAAATTATTCATAACGTGTACAATCTTTTTAACTTAATTTGTTCTTTAGATAACACTAAAAATAATTATTTGCTAATAAGTTACTATTCCATTAACTTTCGTTGATAGCTATTAACATAAATATTATGAATTTATATTAATAATAAAACATGTTATACGTACTTATGAGTAAATATATATTAATAATAAAACATGTTATACTTTGCAGATATTTTATTTATTTTCATCCTCATCGATTGTATTATTATGCCTAAAAACTACTGTGAGATAAATACTATTGAGTGTATAATCATTTGCATAATATGTTCTTTTAATGAGTTGTGCATTTACTTGAGGGCAATTATTTGCAAGTTCTTATTTTGCAGATAAACATCTGATCTAAATCACTATGAGTAAATAGTGTACGCACTAATAATGGAAAGATTGCTCATTTAATTACAAATTACTAATTTTATATGTTATAAACATGACTTTATCTTTAAATATTTGTTCATGACTTCGTAGGGAATTTTTTTTGTGGTGAACTCACAAATTTAATTTTGACCCTCCTAGATCTGCCCTCATCCAAATTATGGAAAATTATTTCATTCTTTCAAATTTCCTTTTTTTCCTATAAATATTTAACTAATCAAAAGTCATAATTCAATTTTCGAGTTTAATATAAAGTTACAACTAAAAATATTATTTTACTCATATAATCGACGTGGTAAAAAAGTTATATCTAAAAATTATTATAAGGTTAACAATGTCAATAACAAAAACAACTTTTGTCCAAATAAACTCAACACATCCTTCATGTTGAATTAACTGCCATACTCCAGGATTGAACTTGGCTTGGGAATTGCACTATAAGGATGTGGTGTGTGTCTCGGATTCTTTGCATGCACTTCAATTGATCAAGCAACCAACCATCATATCTCACGCATTTGTTACACTTATTGAATCCATTAAAGATTTTGTAAAAGAAGACTGGAAGGTGGAGTTTATGCCCACATTGCGGGAAGGGAATAAGTGTGCTGATATTCTTGCCAAGAAAGAACCCATAACAAATAGGCATTTGATTGTGTTTGAAGAACCTCCGTCTATTTTGATGGATGCTCTTTGGAATGATAGAGATCACATGTCTTTCTTGAGAATTTAATTTTTGTTTCTTTTTCTTGTTTGTTTGTCTCCTACTACAAAAAAAAAAAACACTAAGCCACCGCCACAAAGTTTGTGTACCCAACCCACATTGTTGGTGTTAAGTAAAGAGTGAAGGGGAAAATTTTTTTTCCTCAAAATGAATAACCGATCAATATAGGACAATAAATTATATATTTAATACATTAAAGTTTTGTTGCGTAAAAGAAAATACATTAAAGTTTTACAACGTTCAATCTATTTATGTGATTTGTTTCAATATTTTATACTCTTTTGTGATCGAACATATTGCAATTAGAAAATGACAATAAAGGTTTGTTTGCTTGCTTTTTTTTTTTTTAATAATAATGGACATAGATTAAAATTGATAATTAAGAATTAATTTACGTTTTTATATGATTTCCTTTAAAATTGATGATTGAGTGAATGTGAAATACATTAAAAAAAAAAGTTAACGACAGAAGATAATAATTTTATAAATGTGAGATACATGATAAACATATAAATTTTGTAGTAAAATTTTTAATATTATTAATTAAATTTCACTTTATGTAGAATTCTTAAATTAATTATAACAAAGGTTAATAATCTTATCATTTATAATATTTTTATAAACAAATAATAATATAACAATCTTTATACAATATATCTAGTGAAATTCAAATAAAAAAAATACACGAATGACAAATTTTTTATCTGCACAATTAAAATATTCTTCAACTGACATAATCGAAAACTATTTCTTTTTTCAAAACATAAATATCATCGAAGTAAATTTCGTCCACTTAACAAAGTCTTCTCGTTACATAGACAAGAGAATCAAACCCTTTAACTATTTACAAAAATGTGTTGAATCTTTGATAAATAAATAAATAAAAGCATGAATGGCATAAACTTAATACATAATGACATAACATAAAAGGATATATTCTGGCACATGAGATTGAGAGGGATGGGATCATCTTCCCTTTCACGTGTCCTTTTCACCCTTCACGGGTGTGGCTATGCATATGACTATGGCTATGCCTATAATAATGTAATGTAATGTGATTCTGCATTGTGCATGCAGAGGGCTCCACTTTCTTGCCAGAGTAATTAACACGCATCAGAACCGTACACGTGGACTTTCCTATCCTCCAAAATCTGATAACAAACCTCAAAATTCTCATTACCTCAATGTTTAATGTTGAAGACTTAAAAAACATAACATTAAAGCATGTACTCAAGAGTTGATCGATAATGAGTAATTTAACAAATCACAGAAAAAATGGACAATATATGGAGTGGAAACCACCTGAAGTTCTTCATGATTTTTTGTGCGGGGTCTACTCATCTTCTTTCTGCACTTGGTACTTGCATTTTTCATTGCATCACTGTTCCTCTATCTCTCTATATACACACCATATATTTGTTATGGGTTTCTCATTGTCTCTTGTATGCGACAATTATACTCTCATCATCTTTTCGGCCCATGCTAACAGCTTACAATGTTGTCGTAAGTAATTAATATACTTTCATTTATATAAATGCATCTTACCATGGGAAAATTTCAAACAACATCAATCATATTCAAAGAAACCACAAGTTTTGTCCTTGGACTAAGATTTAACTTGACATGTGAAACAATTATCTTCCTACTTTATGTTGTTCTCCTAAGGCGTATGATGATACTAATTTTAAGGACTTAACTGCGAGATACATGTAAGCCCCTCACGATACAACATAGTCTTCTCAAATAATTTGAGGAACAGAACTGACAAGAGACAAATAAGAACTCATAAGAGAATAGAGAGAAAGAAGAGTGAAAAGGTTTTCGGGGTGATGAAACAATGTTTTATGAATCTCACATGGAGCTATAGAAAAGCTCGTAAACCATTCAAAATTTAGAGAATAGAATATTAGATCTGGTAGGGTCAGACGAGATTTTTAAGATCAGGTTAACTCTTAATTTGAAACATAAAAAATGGACATATTTCAAATAAGA